CTATGAGAGAGATGCAAATCAAAACAACAATGAGGTACCATCTTGCTCCAGCACTAGTAGCAAAGTTCAACAAGACAGAAAATGACAAATGCTGGCGAGGATTACCATACCAATTTCCAAGTGGTTGTATAATTTCACTCTTTTTTTTTTTTTTTGTGATGAACAACTGGATAAGTTGATTTCTTCCTTAACAGTTTGCCAATAACTTCTACATATATTGTAAACTTAACAAAATGCTGTTGCTATTATCTTGTATAGTTGACTGTCATTTAAATTTACATGTCTACCCTTTTCAGTGTTCTATATTCCTTTTGGTACATACATGATTCAATCTTAGGTTTTGTCCCTCTGCTTTAAGAAATATTACATTATTATAATTTCTTTTAGTGCAGATGTGCTAGTTACAAATTCTCTAAGTTTTTCTTTGTCTGAAGATGTTTGAGTTTTCCTTCATTTCTGAAGTTTTTTTTTTTTTTTTTGCTGGATGTAGTGTTAGAGGTTGACAGTTTTTCCTTTCATCATTTAAATATATCCTTTCATTGTCTTATGGATTTTATTGTCGACTTTGAAACTAATTTGACTGCTAACCAGAAGGCTGGCAGTTCAAACCCACCAGCAACTCCTCAGAAGGAAGACGGGGCACCACCTTGGGAACCCAAGAAGGGATTGCTATGAGATACCACCTTGGGAACCCAAGAAGGGATTACTATGAGTTGGACTTGACTCTCTGGCAGTGAGTTTTTAATTTTATTTTATTGGGTATTTTAAAATTTTCTCTTTATTCCTGGTCTTCAGCTGCTTCACTATGATGTACATCAGTATGGTTTCCTTTGTATACAATCTTCAAGGAGTTTATTACCCTTCTTGACTTTGTGGTTCAATGATTTTAATCAGTTTTGGAAAATTCTTAACTATTGACTTTTCAAATGTTAGTTCTGTTCTCTTTTTTCCCATGAGACTCCAGTCAAACAAATGTTAGCTTTTTTATCATGTCCCATATTTCTCTTACACTTCTTTCCTTATTTTCCATCTTTTTGCTTTTCCATTTTTCATTCAGAGCATTTTCTTCTGACATATCTTGTATTTTACTAGTCTTCTCAACTGTGGACTATCTGCTATTAAAGCCATCATTTAAGTTAGTTTTATTTATTATGTCAGTTTTAGAATTTTCATATAATTCTTTCTCACCATTCCCAGTTATTTAATAAAAATTTTCACCAATTTTTAAAATATATTAATCACACTTATTTTAAAGTCCATATCTGAAAACTCCTCCACCATCTGGGTGATTTGTCTGTCTCTTTTAAATATCTGTTTTTTCACTTACTCTTCATTCTGGAAAGATATGCCTATAGCTTTTTATTTGAATGCCATTGTTCTTGTAAATTGATGAGGCTCTAGTCAATGCCACTTACTATAGAGAGTATTTGCTTTTGGTGTAGGCAGCAGTTAGAAAGAGAGGTATTATACCTTAATATATCTGAGATTAATTTATTTTAAGCTAGACTTCAGGCTTTCCGAAGTTGATCTGTTTTCACCTTTACCCTTATAATGAGCTTTTGGGATCTCTATTGGTGTGTATCCTTGATTCCTTTCTTCTAGTCTGGCCCATATGCCAGTTTTTCCCTCTGTTGGTGCCATAAGACTACTGAAATCTCTTATTACCTCTGGAGCTCCTGGTTTTAAGCACATGCCTTGAGGAGAAAAAAGGGAGCACCATATATGCTTTACCTCAATGCATTTTCCTTCTCTCTTGGATCTTGATCTCTCAAGGACTCTTTTGGGAGTTCTCCAATGTTTTAAAAAAAAACTTTTAAAAATTCATTATCAAGCTTTCTAATTCTCATTGAGAGGATCACTCCATAAATATTAGTTATACATGTCCTGTATATGACCTGTACTTGCGGGTAGATTTATATTCCCATTATATTTAGATACTCCCTTCCTTTCAGGTAATTTCTAGACAGTGTAGAAGGTTTTAGCTGTATATAAAACAGAGGGATTTCAGCTTATCTACAGATAAGTTTGATTCGGTGCCCACATGTTTTGTATTAATTAAAATCTATCACACATTTCCAATTTTGCATTCTGTGTTAACTTCTTTATAACCCTCTGGAAGAAACACTAGGTTAACGTTCTTCCAAAAAACTTGTTAGGTGAGGCTCAGTGAGATCACCAAGAATCAATTCTGATTCTCATGATTTGAGATTATATTTTTGTAAACATCCCTCTACCTTTTCCACTCCATTTATAAACCTTTTTGGCACAAGAGAGATGCAGGGTGCTTTTGTTACAACAAATACCCTTTGCCTTTCATCTAAACCTCTATCCTTTTGTCTCTGAAATGTATCCAAGTTGCTGTTGTTGTTATGTGCCATCAAGTTGGACCCGACTCATAGCGACCCCTCCTTGGGTTTCCGAGGCAGTATCACTATGGAAGTAGATTGCCCCATCTTCCTTCTGAGGAGGGGCTGGTGGGTTTGAATTGCCAGCCTTCTGGTTGGCAGTTAAGTGCCTTAGGCACTACTAGCACCCATTACATTCCTGACTCATCGAGGAAACTCCTGAGAGCCCACCCCCATCCTCACAGGACCATCTAGTGTCTTTGACTTGTCATTGAGGTGGGAGTCTGGCTCCAGTTCATCTGCCTCACCTCCCTCTATCCTCCATGTCAGTAGATTCTCCATGTTAGCAGCTCACTTAACATGACCCTAAATCTTCCCCTTATGCTTATTTTCACTCCATTGCCTATCCTTTTCCCCCAGTCCCCTTGTTAGTCCAGTATACTACTAATACCCTAAGACTCTGCTCAAATGTGACTTCTTTGTGAAGATTTTCTTGGGTCAGTGAGGCCAAATCAATCTCTCTTTCTTCTTTAATTTTATTTTTGTTATAATATCTGTCTTCCACAGTTGGTATAACTCCTAACAAAAGTAGATGAATAGTACCTTGCACTGTACCCGAAGTGTAGCAGAGGCTCAACACAGTATCTGCTATCATGGTTATGATCAACATCATCAACATTTTCAAAAAATTGGTCATACAAATCCCACTTCAATAATTAATCTCAAGAAAAGGATATTAAAAGTAAGAAGAATCTGTATGTATGAGGATATCTACTTTAAGGTCATAAATAATAGCCAAAAATGAAAACTAACTAAAATTTTTAATCATTGGGTAATAATAGTTATGGATATTACAGATTATTTGCTCAGAGGAATGTTGTGCTGCTATTTTTAACAGTGATTTTGAAAACTATATGGCAACAGGTCAAATAATTATGATATTAATTCAGCTAATAAAAGCAAAATATAAAATTTCATCAGTTCTATAAATTCACCTAAGCTATATTTATGTGTGTATGAATATGGCTTTAAGGGGATCCGGGAGAATGAAGATAATTTGTTTTGCTAGGGTGATGTGTTCATTGGTATTTTGTCTCCCTTAGACTTTGATTTCTGTAGGGGTTGTTGTTTCTGACTGACCATTAGAGGGCACCACATGGACAAGGAATGGGTCTGTCTGGTCCTTACCTATTTCCCCAGGACCTAGGATTGTTCCTGCTTTACATAATAAACAGCCAATAAGTGTTCATTATATTAATGAATACTGTATTCTAGTGATTTTCAAACTTTAACCACATCAAAATCACTTGGACGGCTTGTTGAAGCAGATTGCTGAATCTCACCTCCAGGGTTTCTGATTCATTATATCTGAGGTGAAGCCCACAAATTTGTACTTCAAACAACTTCCCAGGTGATGGTGATGCCAGTGGCCCATAGACTACATTTTGAGAACCACTGCTATAAGGTTGTACCATAAAAATGTAGTCCTATGCAACTGTAATTCTCTATGTTGTATATAAGATCCATTTAATCTTTCTCTTTAGCTTCAAAACACATCTTGCTAGGTAAAGCTCAGCTGTACTTGACAGTCAACAGAGGCCCACAGGATGTAGCTTGTCAGGTACAGCCCCATCATGGCCATGAGGCGCACACCATCTTCAGTATTTTCTGCATGTCAGGAAAACTGGTACGTATTGACAATCCTCTGTCATCATGAAAGATCAAAGGCAGTGCCAACTATTGGAGGTTATGGCAAGCTCTTTGGGGATTTGTTTTAAAGTTCCTGTTGGAAAGTTGCTGAAACATAAGCAGTCATATCCTTCCCTTACCATCATTCCCACAGTAAGAGACCAGAATAGCACCTAGGGTAGAAGGAGGAGCATTCTGATAGGAAGCAAAGTCTGAGCAGGGGCCAGCACAGGACAGCAGGAAAGGCATGATGTCTTTAGGTCACAGGATGAAGAAAATGTTGCCCATTCGCTAGGATATGTACGTAGGGACATTGCTTTAAAGTACAGTCAGAATAGAAAGGCTTCAATTAGTGGTTGTGACAGTGAAGTGGGCATTGTACCAGATAATAGGCCAGTTATTTAAAGTGATAGAATCTGTCAATCACAGAAGGACAAATACTGTATGAGCCCATTACTGTAAAAAGACAAAGAAGGGTTTTCTTGTGAAAGGAACTCACTTTGTAGGTTACTGGGGAGGAGAGGTAAGGGGAGGGATTAATTCCACGCTAGTTGGGGCCCACACGCTGATGTGGATAAGGGGAGGGATGTATGGAAAGAGCCTGTGACCACCCTGATAACATTAGGAAAAGGAAGGACACCGAATTGTACACATAGGAGATAGACAAGTGATCAGGAGTATACTCTGGACCCAGGATAGATTCAACAGGCTAATCTTGTACAGATACCAGTGATAGAAAATATCTTTAATCCTTACAGAAACAATAGAAGACAGACACAGACTAATCCCTTACAGACACCCAGACACTGTGGGAGAGAGATCTAACAGATCTACTGACTTAGGACCATAGTACTGGGGGACACCAGACTTAATTGGCACGACAAAATACATAAAAGCAATGTTCCTCATTCTACATTTGTGAGTAGTGACTGGGGTCTTAAAAGCTTTCAAGCAGCCATCTAAGATGCACCTAATGGTCTGCTATCATCAGATGTGAAGAAGAGTGCAAACAAAAACAAGGGCATTTATAAACAGCCCTAGGACATGATGGCCCTTGAGATCAAAAGAACTAGATGATGCCTGGCTACCAATGCCAGTCACTCAGGAAAGGATTAAATCTGGAGATCCTGGATAGGTTGGGAGGAAAAACATGGAACAAAATCCAACAACTCAATAATGACCAGAATTACTGGTCAGATGGAGTCTGGTGAGACCCCCAATACTACCGTCCTGGAATACATTCTGGGCCTGGGATAAAGCTCACTCCCTGGGGCTGGCTCTTGGCCTAATAGTAAACAAGATGTACATGCAGACCACTCAACCCAGGGTGATGTACCCACATACTCTATGGAAATACATCCCTTGGAGCAATCGATCACAGGCACCAGAGGGGCAACATTCACATGGAGGGCAAACAAGAGTGCATAACTATGAGGGGTACAGGGGCAGTGTTACTGGGCAGGAAGGGGAGGAGACTGGGTTAGGGTTGGACTTGGTAAATGGGGAATGAAACTAAATGTACACATAATGTTGAATGTAAAACAAACTTTTAAAAATTAAAAAAAAAAAAAAAACAGTGAGGGGTCTGAATTCAGTATCTGAGTCCAATTGCAGCTCAGACTTGAATACTCACCCTCCTAACTTGTGCAGTGGAGAAAACAAATGTATTGTTTTCACAGGGCCATGCCAGTATCAAATGCAAGGATGGATTTAAAATATCTACTGTTCCATTCTGAGTTTGGGTAGCAGGACTGCAGTAGTTATAATGACATGAATGATTTGACGAGACCTGGACTTTCTATCTTGGCATCACATCAATCTTCACCATTCTCTGGGCCATAAACTTCTGACTTTTCCCTATCTGTGTGCCCTGCCTATGTTGTCTCTTCTGTCAGGAAATCATCCTTGTCCTCTCGGTAGGATCCAAAATCTGGCCTTCATTTAAGGCCTAGTTTACATGCCCTCTGCTTCTGAACATGACACCATTGCACATGAACTCTCTCCTTCTCACCTCTATATTGCATCCCTGAGCTGGAAATCTCCTGGTGTTTAATCCAGGAGGCCAGTGATGGTTTATGATTCTGCAACCATGGAAGAGTCTAGTGCAGTGAGAGCAAAATGTCATGAGAACAAATCTAAGGCATACTTGAGCTCTGTGGAAAGGGTGGGAAGTAAGCTCCCATGTGCTGTAAATCTGTGAACTCTTATTTAGTTATTGGGAATGTCTGAGTGGTGCAGTTAACATGCTTGGCTGCTATCCAAAGAATTGGAGGTTCAAGTATGCCCAGAGGCACCTCAGAAGAAAGGCGTGGTGATCTACTTCTAAAATATCAGCCTTTGTAAACCCTATGGAGCACAATTCTACTCTGACACATATAAGGTGGCCATGAGTCAGAATCAATTCTACAACAATAGGTTTTAGGTTTGATTTAGTTATTATTTGGCCTGTTCCTGTCTGTAAAAAAGAATGTTCTCAGGTGGAATGAAGGATATAGGTATATAGATATTTATTGGTGATGTAAGTTCTAGTTTGCTCATCTACACTATTTTTTGCTCCCTGTTCAATGGATTATAGGATTTTCATTATGAATTTAGTTACCGGATAGGAAATTCCTCCAAACGTACTTTGTACCATGGGAGAGATGCCCAGTATTATTTTGCTTTACCAGCTGGTGAGCCATTGGACAGTTATAGAGGTAAGTCACAGTATAAATTTGGTCTATTGCTTTGTTTACTTAGGATTCTACCCTTTTTTCCTGGTTTCCAAAACTGCAAAACTGTATATATATAGAAAACAAAATTCTTATTTTTTCATATTGATAAGCTTAACACTTTTTAATTTAGGCTAATTTTTACTCTGTGGTACAAAAAGAAAATTAGTAATATGATCAATTAATTAATTTTATATCTTAAGTTTTAACCACAGCATAATATAAATGTTAAAATGACAAAAATCTTTTTTTTTTCTATGTGAATTATAATTTTAAGACCAAGATATCCTCTATTTTCTAGTGAAATATGCCCTATCTGGTAAGTCTTACATTTACTATAGTCTAAACCATATCAGGGTACTCCCCTAAGAAGAAAATGAGATGGGTAGTGGTAAACCAATATTGAAGGAGCTTTGAAAGTCAGAAATGAGGTAGCAGTTAGAATCTCAAAGCAAACAGAATTTCTCAGTGTTGGTAACTTCTTCCTCCCATCTGTAATGTCTTGTTCAGTTCTAAACCAATGCCTGAGAACTAATCTCAACTTGCAGGATGGTGATGTTATTTGGCATCACTTTTAAGAAAGTTTTGGTTCTGCAGAATATACATCCAATTAAATTAGAATTTCTGGTGATGAGAATTTTGTTTAAACTTTTAAATTCTTCCAATGTGCAGTCAAAGTTGAAATTTACTGATATAGAAGTTTCTTTGATTTGGGCTCGTAAGCTTTCAGCCAAAAATATGAACTAGTTCAATTTACTTGCCTTAATTAAATCCCACCTCTCTTTTTAGCCCAGCTAAAATGCCTTTTTCCTCATGAAACATTGCCTGAAACCTCCTGTTTGTGGTAGTCAGAACTTCTTCTGGATTTTGGTCAATTAAATTGAGGAAAAGCTTACTGATAAAGGTGCTTTGTATTTTTTTTTTTTTTTTAATTTTGTTCTTGTTGAGAATATACACAGAAAAACAAATACTAATTCAACAGTTTCTACATGTATAATTCAGTAGCATTGATTGATTACATTCTTTGAGTTGTGCAACAATTCTCACCCTCCTTTTCTAAGTTATTCTTTCCTCATTAACATAAACTCATTGCCCCTAAGTTTTCTATCTACTCTTTCTAGTTACTGTTTTCAATATGGTCCCATATAGATAGTTCTTAAAAGAGCATAATGCTCAAGGGAGATATTTTTAACTGGATAAGCTCAACTATTTTCTGGTTTTAAGAAGACTTCAGGAGATGTTTCTGGATTAAGGTTTAAAGATTGTTTTAGGGCAATACCTGCCAGGGTTCATCCAGCCTCCATTGCTCCAGGAAGTGTGGATTCCATAAGAATATGAAATTATGTTTTGCATCTTCCCCCTTTGGATCAGGATTCTTCTATAGAATCTTTGATCAAAATGTTCAGTAATGGTAGCAAGGCACCATTCAATTCTTCTGGTCTCATGGCAAAGGAAGCAGTTGTTTTGGAGAACAATTAGCCACACATTTCATATCTCCTCTGGTCTCTGACTTTCCCTCTTCCTGAGTTGCTCCAGATAAATAGAGACCGATTATTGTGCCTTAGATGGCTACTTGAAGCCTTTAAGACCCCAGGCAATATGCAAGGAACTACAAGGTAGAACAGAAGCACTCAACATGTTATTAGCCAATTAACTGGGATGCCTCATGAAACCATGGCCCTTAACCTCCAAGTAAAGGAATCATATCCCATGGGGTTTGGTCGTACAGAAGAGTAGCCTCAGCAGCTACTCTTCTGTTGTTGTAAATATGTTCATCACACATTTTTTTCTAATTCCAACTTTTTACAGATGTACAACTTACTGAGAGCAATTACAATAATTGGCTATACAACCCTACTTTAATAAATGTGGCGTAGCGCCTAAAGCACTTGACTGCTAACCAGAAGGCTGGCAGTCCAAACCCACAAGTCACTCCTTGGAAGGAAGATTGTGCAAACCACTTCTTTAGTGATACTGTCTCAGAAACCCAAGGAGGCATCACTATGAGTCAGATCTGACTCCACAGCAGTGAGGATTTTTTATTTATTTTTTAATTTTTTTTTAACATACATATGTTTTTTAACATACACACACACACACACACATATATATATATATACTGAAACATGAGCTCTGATGGCGTAGTGCCTAAGGCATTTGACTGCTAACCAGAAGGCTGATGGTTCAAACCCACCATCCACTCCTCAGAAGGAAGATTGGGCAATACCGCCTCGGAAACCCAAGGAGAGGTTGCTCTGAGTTGGATCCAACTCAACGGCAGTGAGTTTTTTATGTACTGCAACAGTACTCCATAAGCAATAACCCTTTTCTCCTCCTTCTTATCTCTGGTAACCACTAATAAACTGGTCTCTATAATTTGCTTTTTCTTACCTTTTTATATAAATGAGGTCATAAAATGTTTGCCTTTATTTTACTTATTTTACTCTTTGTAATTTCTTAAGGGATCATGTTCTTTCTGCTTTCTGTCATAATTGTTTTGTATTCCTGTCTTACCTTTCTGAGGTTTCTTGGAGTCAAGCAACAAGACTAGGTAATCAGTGCAATAAATGTTGTTTGAATGAGTGAATGCAATTTTCAATGGCCTGCCTTAACAAATTCTTAAAACATTAAAATTGTACTCACTATCCATCTTGGGGAATTTTTTATCTAAATGGATGCTCATCTCAAACTACCCCACCTATTGATGTTAGGCATGCAGCTATGGACTTCTGGGTCATAAGAGGACTTGGTTCTAGAGGAGAGGAAGTGAAACTCATAATGAGCACACTTCTCATGGTAGTTGGTTATATTACGGCTTGGCAGTGACTCTCACAAAGTGGTGTATAAAGGGGTTTATGGGGCCTCTGTCAAAGAGGCCATTTTTTGACCATAGGATCAGGAAGATATGAAAATGAAAGAAACTTGGGGCAGGGCCTTAGCTATGTATTGGACAAAAAGTTTCCTTAGCATAAATTTATAGAACCAGCATTTAATTTACAGTCACTGAGAAGTGTCAGGGTTAGTGATGTTACTCAGATAATTCAAAAGCAAGGTATTTGAGCGTAACTGTCAATATCTGTATTATAATTTCCTGTGAATATCTGAACTCAAGATTCATAAGAAAAAAAAAAAAAACATAAGCAAATAAGTATTTTTAGGAATATTTAATACATATCTTATCCTGTCCCATCTCTTGCATGAATGTCATAAAGGTCTTTTAGATTCAGTATGTCAAAACTAAATAGAGTCTTACCTGAAATATACTCCTTCTATATCCGTTGTCTTGATTAACAGGACCAATGTTATCCTTAGGTACTTGTTAAAACTGCAGCTTCCAGGGCTCATCCAATATCTATGGACTCAGAATTTGGGGTGATGGTGAAGCCCAAAATTTGTTTGTAGATACTGATGATTGAGATGCAAATGTCCATGGACCACATTGTGAGAACCACTGACCTTCAATATTAAGTCCCAGATTCTTAGCATTATATTTTAGGTTGAGAATACCCTTATGATGACAGGTAGGGTGCAACTATGCATTGATCTTTCTGTGTGGTTCATTTGACTCTGTCTGTGGCCCTTCACCAAATGACCATCATCTACCACACTGAGCTTCACCTACAATTTTCTCACTACAAATTGAGCCCATCCATGTCATGTGAAGTGAATCTTGAGTCTCCAATAAGCCATTTCCTGCCATGTTCCTATATCTCCACACAGACTTTCAGAACTCATTCAATTTTTTTTTTTACCTTGCTCTCTAAGCAAGTCACATTTCTACACATCATTTAGTTTGTGGTTGAAATATATCCCTTGACCTCCATTACAATATATATATTTCATTCTTTGGATCATAACAAATTATGGATAAAATTGAGAATTGTTGTTGTTGTTATGTGCTGTTAAGTCAGACCTGACTCATAACGACCCCTCCTTGAGTTTCTGAGGCAGTATCACTACAGAAGTAGATTGCCCCATCTTCCTTCTGAGGAGTGGCTGTGGGTTTGAACTGCCAGCCTTCTGGTTAGCAGTCGAATGCCTTAGGCACTACACCACCAGAGCTCCCATTGAGAAGAATAGGAATTCCAAAACACTTAATCGTGCTCGTGAGAAACTTGTACATAGACCAGGAGGCTGTAGTTCAAATAGAACAAGAGGATATTGCATGGTATAAAATCAGGAATGGAGTACATCAAGGTTGTATCCTTTCACCATACTTATTCAGTCTGTATGCTGAGCAAATACTCCTAGAAGCCGGACTGTATGAAGAAGAACATGGCATCAGGATTGGAAGAAGACTCATTAACAGCCTATGATACACAGTTGACACAGTTTACTTGCTCAAAGTAAGGATGACTTGAAGCACTTACTGATGAAGATTGAAGTCTACAGTCCGAAGTATGGATTACACCTCAATATAAAGAAAACAAAAATCCTCACAACTGGACCAATAAGGAGCATCATGATAAATGGAGAAAAGACTTAAGTTGTCAAAGACATCATATTACTTGATTCTGCAAACAACACCAACGGAAACAGCAATTAAGACATCAGATGATGTATTGCATTAGTCAAATCTGCAAAAGACCTCTTTCAATTGCTGAAGAGCAAAGATGTCTCCTTGAAAACTAAGGTTCACCTAACCCAAGCCATGGTATTTTCAATCACCTCATATGCTTGTGAGAGCTGGACAATGAAGAAGGAAGACCAAAGAAGAGTTGATGATTTTGAGTTGTGGTGTTGGCAAAGAATACTGAAAGTACCATGGACTGCTAAAAGAACAGACAAATCTGTCCTAAAAGAAGTGCAGTTGAAATGCTCCTTGGAAGGGAGAATGACTAGACTTCATCTAACCTACTTTGGTCATGTTGTCAGAAGGGACCATTCCTCAGAGAAGGGTATCATGCTTAGTAAAGTGGAGAGTCAATGAAAAAGGAGAAGGCCCTCAACAAGATAGATTGACACAGTGGCTGCAACCATGGGCTCAGGTATAGCAAGGATCATGAGGCTGGCACAGGACCAGGCAGTGTTTCATTCTGTTGTACATAGGGTCACTGTGAGTCACAGATGACAAACCGGCACCTAACAACAAACAACAACATGGCCCCCATGCCATAACTCTATTTTAGCATTCATCACATTATCAGTATAGCTATAATCCTGAATTCACTGAGTTGCTTGATGGCAAAGACTGGTCCTTGCACCTGTTGCATCTTAGACAGCAGCAGGCACATAACACTTACTGGTCAAATGGATGAATGAGCAAGAGCATGAGAATGAATGAATCATTTCCTGATCCCTCAGACACAGTGATTTTTCACTTCTCACTCTTCTGACCATTACTGTCTGCCCCTATCTGTTTAGCATTCCCTGTCTGGTATAGTTGCTTAATGTTTTTATGTCAGCTTGTTGGTCTCCCTAGAAGGATGGGAGAACCTTAAGTTCATCACTCATTCCTTGGTTTACTTTGATATCCCTTGTATTATATATCCATCACCATAGTAAGCACATAGATCTACTCAACAGAGGTTCTCTTTATTGATTTTCTGAAATCCAGAGTGTAAGAAATTTGGGGAACTTACCTTGCAATTTCATTACACTTTAAACTTGCCAGAATGAACCCATCCTCATGTGTTGTTCAATTGGCTATAGCCCATATGTCCAGAATGATTCTCCTCTTCCATGTTCTCTTACAGTCATGGTTTTCACTGAGATCACAGATGGTGAAGGCTCTAAGTTACAGCCCTGTGCTGTGGCAGTGACTGTACTCCCCCGTTACCATAGGAATGTAGCCTCTGTGAATTACTGCATCGGCGAGGATCTGTGAGTAATGCTGCACTGGGACATTCTAGAACAATGTTTGATTTCCTCCAGAGATGACTCTCTTCCAAGTTGGCCACAAGATGGAATGAAAGAGTGGCAGGGACTCACCTTATAATAAGCAAAAAAAAAAAAAAAAATTGCCCTATCACAGTAATCCTTCTAACTGGTATGTCCATAGTTTTTATGTGTGTTCTTCAGAGCCTAGAAAGCACTTTCTTCTTTTTGTTTTACAGTTTTATTGAGATACTATTTATATTCCATATAGTTCATACCATTTATATAATATTCAACGTGGTTTTAGTATGTTTACAGAGCTGTGCAATCATCATCATAGTCTAATTTTAGAACACTACCATCATCACTCAAACTCTTACACTCATAGCAGTCACTCCCCATCTACATCTCCCCCAGTGGAAACTTTTTTATAATTGATTAGAAATTAGTTTGCAATTTATTTCTTTACTCTTTGCGATGATCCTGTGAGTATGCATTTTACACATTAGGAAACTGAAGCTCAGTTAAATAACGATGCTGTGGTCACACAGCAAGGAAATTTCGGAGCAAGGACTGCTTTCATGAATAAGTCTCTTCCTGCTATATCATAATATCCTGCCATGTCAAAATAAGTGAAATATGCAGTTTGTAAACAAATAAATAAATGCCCAGTGATTGAAATCTGAAGTCATAAAATTGTGGGTTTACATCAAACCACAAGTACAATGCAGTTGTCCATGTGGTGTAGGTTTGGGCACCAACTACCAACATCACTTATTTAGATGCTTTGAGAAATTTTAGTCAGCTATAGCTGTGGTCATATCTTTATCTGACTCTGGACTACATTGCCTCATTTGCCATTATGCTTTTGTACCATTCTCTGATTTGTCTTCTTGTTCCTGTTTCAGTGCTGATAAAAGGGATGAGATATGATATTGTAAATATAGGCAGAAAAATGAGTGGTTTCTTGATCTGCTTGAGAGATTCTCCCTTCCATCCCTTAACTCAGACAGAAGGTCTGTGACCTATGGTTCTTTCATGCCTCCTGCAATCAATTTCTCTCTCCCTTTTTCCTATACCCCTCATCCATCTGCAGCAACTGTTGACTTACCAGATATTTGTTCTTAACTGCTCTATTATTATTTAGTGTAGCTTGTGCATGAGCAAAGAGTATTTGCTTTCTGATGTTGTGGCAACAGTTGGCAAATTTCCTGTTAGGCAGTGCCGTCACCATGGTACATGAGCTGCCCTGAAGTGTGATTACTCTTATGTTTTCTTCAGATATAATTCCAGCCTGAAAAACCTATCCATCCTCCTGTTGATGGGGAGTTACCTGGAAATCAGGAACTATATCACCATGATCACCAGGATCCTGAGTTGTTTGGCTAAGGAGAACAGAGGCCCTTTATGTGGCCAGTGGTCACGAATACAGGATGCATTCATTTCTTCAGTATGCAAACTAGATTTTGCAGATCAGGTAGGGCCCAGAACAGTGTGAGTTCATTGCCTCTGGACCTATATCAGTACAGGAGGACCTGTGACTGGTTGGCTCACAATCAAATGGTAATGTTTAAGAAATGCAATCAAGAAATGAGACCAGTGACTCAGTCTGGCTTTAAGATAAATGTCTGTGGCCTCTCTACCTTTCTTCTGTATTTCACAAGTGAATGCTGATGGCTTAAAACAGAGATAGACTGATAGACTTCAATCATCATCACAGAGAATTCTGTTAAGGTTGCTGTAAATGAAAATTATGAAAATCTAATATGATTTTATGTAGAAAAGAATGATATACTGGAGAGTTAAGTTCATTATCGTGAAAATTTTAAAGAAATACTCATATTTTAAAATGATGCTTTCCTTGCTCACAGCATTTCTGAACACCTGTCTTTTCTCATTTATACACACAAAAAACAAATTATAGGTATATTTTCTCTTGAACCAACATTTTCCCCTCATTCCTCGTTCTCGATTAACCTTTTTGAAAACTTTGTTCTGTTCTCTTATTTCCTCTTTACTCATGTCAGTTGCCTGATGAAGTATGGTGAGGCTGGCCAGGATAGGATGTAAGAGCACAGATGCTGGAGTGCTAGGAAAAACTTGAGGCCAAGGTATTGGTCTCTCTGAAGAATAGCCTGCAGTCAGTCTTTCAGCTGAAAAGCATGACATCTCCTTTATTTCTTCATAAGCAAGCTGTAAATTGTATACATTTAAAGCGGTTAAGCTAACTTTCCTTTTTTTTTTTTTTTTCCTGGTCAGGAAGAAATAATTAATTCTATTATTATGCTGCGTGACCTCATAAACTTCCCTAATAAGGTGAGTTCTATTTCTATGTGTTTTTTTTTTCTTTTTTCTTTTTTGCCTTTTTGCATAATTATGAAGGTATTGATCAATTTTTAAAGACTATATTGTTTGGAGTTACATTTTGACACTTAAATTAGGAACAGGACTTTCTCCTTAGAATTCATCTGAATGGCATTGCCCATCTCAAATCATTAGTGAAGACATTCCTACCTAATATATGAAATTGAAAACCAAAAGGTAGAAATGAATTAAAGCATGTCTAAGGCACTTGACTGCTAACCAGAAGGCTGGCAGTTCAAACCCAGCAGCCACTCCTTGGAAGGAAGTCTGGGTAATCTAGTTCTGTACAGATACTGCCTCAGAATCCCAAGGAGAGTTCACTAGGAGTTGGGACCAACTCGATGGCAGTGAGTATGTTATAAATAATTTTGTAAAGGGAATGTTCTTGATTATTAACACATGGTATTTTGAATTTCCCAATGCCCATGCCATCTTTTCTTCTCAAATCTCCAGCACCCTTTCCTCCCTTTTCAGATCATACTTTCACTGCATTGTTCTTTGAGTCATGAGAAGAGAGCCCTCATCTACCACTGACCAGCCAATCCTGTCTTCCACGTCCACATTTTATCATGAAAGGAGTTTCTCTGCTCCCAGCAAAAATTCATTCCTCTATTTTTGCTCAGCATCCCATCTAAGCTACTTCTTTGTACCTCATTTCAGTCTATCTGACTGACTAGTGCACCCTGAAGTTGTGCAGTGCCCAGACTGTATGGCTGTAGGTGGTGGTTCTTCCTGCTGTCCTATTTTGCCTCCTCCAGGACTTCTATCTTTTAATTTACCACTCTCTTTGTTGTGCCTTCCATTTATCCCTCTCTGGTAAAAAAATCCCCAACATGTGTACCATGTCACTCCTTCTTCAAGAAAAATCCTTCCCTAAACCTATACCCTCTTCCAGATGTCACTTTGTTTCAATGCTTTTCTTTATAACAAAACATTTAGAAAGTGATTTCTGAACTTGCATGGTCTATACTTGCTCTTCCTCATGTATTTTTAAACTATCAAAATCTAGTTTCCATTTCTATCTTGTCACTGAAACTGCCCCTATGAAAGTCATTCAAAAGCTCTGTGTTCTAAGTTCACTGGACACCTGCTCTCCTCACTATTTTTTCCCTCTCAGTAACATTCTGTAGGATCATCACCCTCCTTTTGGGAGTACTTCATGTCCCTTGGTTTCATGACACCAGTTTCCTGGTTAGTTTCATTTGACCATTGCTGGCTTCTTTGCTTCTCCCTGACCCTTCAATGTTGAGTGTCTCTGGATTGTGTATTGGGCCTCCTTGAATTCCCCATCTACACTCTCCCTGAGTGATCTCATCAATTCCCTTTAGATTAAATCTATGTGATGACTCTAAAATTTCTATCTTCAACAAAAGATTCTCCCAAAGAGCTTCAGACTCATACATCCAACTACCTACATAACCTATTTATATGGGTGACTGTGCATCCTAAACCTAACATAGTCAAGAAAGAGCTCCTTACTACACTCTTTCAGTCTATCTCCTTCAAATCCCATTCCTCTTCCTCTTTTTTCCATTTTAAGAAAAAGCACCACATTCCACTCAGAATCTCAAGTGAAAAACCCAGGTGTCATCCATGAATATTCCCTTTTCCTCATCCATCCACTTATAAGTAAGTCTTTTCAATTCTTCCTCAAAAATGTATCTAGAATCTTCCTCCTTCTCTTCTCTGTTGGTCCCAACTCTAATCTAAGAAACTATCATTTCTCATCCAAGATAATAGCCTAAATGTTATTGCTGCCTCCTTTCTTGCTACCTTATAATAACTTCTACAAAAAATAATCAGAAGGATCATTTTAAAAGCCTGAATCATTTAATGCACTTCCCTATTTTAAGCCTTTCCTTGGTTTCTCATTGTATTTATGATGAAATTCAAACATTTTACCTTGACCCACATGATTTGACTCCTTCATACCTTTCCTATTGCCTCTCTTAGATTTTCTTTCCTTTTCTAGCCATCCTCCAGACATAATGGTTCAGAGCCTGGGTAATTGTTCCTTTTCATGGTATGCTCGTCTTTTGACTCACTTCATAGCTGATGTCTTTCATTCATTTCTCAATTGATATGTTATATCCATGGAGAATCATCCTTGGCCCACAATCTAAACTTGCCCTTTCCTCCTATTACCTCGTTTATCTCCTTTGATATGTTCACAATCAACAGTTACCTTATTTATTTCTTTATTGCCTTTCTTTCCTCATTGGAATGTAAACTTCATGGTGGCAGGGATCTTTCATTCCTGTTCACCCATAATGTCATCTGTGACACAAAGGTGGAGTACAGCAGGTAGATATGGGTGGATGGATGAATGAATGTCTACATAGATGACTTTAACATTTCCTTCCCAACTTTCCTGCTTTGATTCACATCATCATCTTGTGCTTGCTCTTCTGCAACAACCACCCATATGGATATCAATACTGACCTTCCTTTTGCAATATATCCTCCTCTCTGCTGCCAGGGCTATTTTCATAAAAAACTTAACTGGTCACACCACTCCTTTGCTTTAATACTTTATGACTCCCTCATACTTTGAGGATAAAACTCAACTCTTCAATTTATCAAACAAGGATGGCTCCAGTTTGCTCCCTGCTGTTCATCTTGCACATCTACCCATGTAAACACCTTCTGTATTCTAATTACTCTAAGTGTTCCTTACTCTAAAATATACAATGCCCTTTCAGACATCCACAAAATAGCATGTTTTCCCTCAGCCTACACCTTTTTCCCTTGGGATTTTTTTTTTTTTTTTCTTCCTTCAAAGCTAAATTGAAACGCTACCTTCTCCATGGCATCTTCATAGAGGCCTGAAGGCAGAGTTCAGTTTACTCTAGAGCAATGTGTACATGGCTTTTTAAAAGTATTTTAACACATTTGATTTATAATTATATTTTGGACATTTCTTTTGCAACTTATCCTTTAAGATCACACACACTGTTTTAGATAAAGTAGTATTAGTAGCTATAATAGATAAACCCTGGAATCTCAGTGTCTTAATACAACAGAAATTTATCCTCAGTTCACATGTTCAGTGGGTCATGTTCCACATGGTGATTCAAGGACTCGCACTCCTTTGATCTCATGTCTCCACTATGTGGCTTCCTAAGTTGAGGGAATGGCTAAGACACTTGCCTGCTAACCAGACGGCTGGCGGTTCAAACCCACCAGCCACTCCTCGGAAGGAAGGTTGGGCAATCCTACTTCCGTAGTGATACTGCCTCGGAAACCCAAGGAGGTGTCACTATGAGTCGGGGCCAACTCGACGGCACATAACAAAGTTGAGGGAATAGAACATGGGGATGGCACACTCAGTTGTTGATAATGTTGCCCTCTAATGGTACACAAGGAGCTCTGGTGGCATAGTGCCTACGGCATTTGACTGCTAACCAGAAGGCCAGCATTTCAAATGCACCAGCCACTCCTCAGAAGGAGGATTGGGCAATCTACTTCCATGATACCACCACGGAAACCCAAGGAGGGGTCACTATGAGTTGGATCTGACTCAATGGCAGTGAGTTAGTTAGTTAGTAATGGTACACACACTTCACTCATTTTTCACTGGTGAGAACTGGTCATATAGGTACACCTGGATTCAAAGGGACCTGGAAAAAGGAATCACTTCCCAGCAATGACCCTAGACAAGGGCTGGGAAGCATGAATCTGGTGGGGAGTCAGCCATCTCTGCCCCAGGTCTCTACTTCATGCATCTCTGAATCCCAATCTTAGTCATAGTTCTTAACTCAGAGCAGTAGGTAAATTGAACATGATTGTCATTTCCAAAGTAACCATTTATGATACTTGTGGTTAAAAAATAATGACCATTGTGAAAAGTGAGCATGATGTGTGCTTTAAAGCACTTGTTTTATTTTGGATAAAAGATCATATTTTTTTACTTTTGAGTCCTGTTTGGATGAATTACTTTATCCTTGGAGCCCTTATTAGTAGTTTCAATATATTTCCCAATAGTTTAATGTTATTCTTGGTGAAAGAGTTTGATTTTAGAGGGTATTTCAAAGGCACATTTTGATCAAACAAGCATGACCATTAGAAAATAAAATCTTAGTTTCATTTGTATACCATTTGATTAGTCCCTTGGTGGCACAAATGGTTAAGTGCTAGACTACTAGCTGAAAGGTTGGTAGTTCAAATTCATTAAGAGGTGCTTGGAAGACAGGCTGGAGATCTGTTTCTGAAAGGTGACAGCCTTGAAAACTCTATGGGGCACAGTTCTACTCTGACACACATGAGGTCACCATGAATCAGAATCAACTTGACAGCAACTAATAACAACAGTTGCTTGATTGCATAGACATCTACTTAATACCTGCTATGAGCTACTAAATACTTTGGAACCACCCAAAGACACCTCAGTAGAAAGACCTGGTGATCTGAAAATGAAAGATCACAGGCATGCAAAGTCTATGGAGCACAGTTCTGCTCTGACACATATGGAGTTGCCAGGAGTCACAAGCGATTGGATGGCAGTTGGTGGTGAAGAGCTCCTAAGCCACAAAGAAGAAAAATATTTAGTCCTTACCTTTCAGAAACTTATAAGTGAAGTTAAATGGATATACTTTCAATAAATGTGCTAAATCCTGTAATTAGGAGAATTACAAAATTTTGAAAACAGCCCAAGCATTAGTGTAGCTAATTTTATCAGGTGATTGTGGACATATTTATTTTAAATAAAGACTCCTCATCTGTTAGTGATATATTCTAAAATATTCATGGGTAAAAATAATGCCTGACAATTGCTTTAGAATATTATTTTAAAATTTAAGTGGGGAGCTGGAGGATCCAAGATGGTAGACTAGGCAAATAATCTAGAATCTCTATAGAAAGGACTTGAGCTGCAAAGGAAAGGATAAAGAACTCTATCAAATACTGCTTAGTTCAAGAGACTGAACAAAAACAGCAGATGTCCATTTTGAATT